CAAAAATCTTACATTTTTGCGATTGCTAATATATGATTCGTTAGGTTAATAATGGTTTTTTTCGTATTTCATCAAAAAAAAATCTCGTCTAATGATTTGTTAGTACTAGTTAGGGTTGTTAATGGAGAATAACAAAACATATAACTCACTCCGGAACACACCAGAAGCGGGTTATATGTTTTATTTTAGTCTGGAGTACTCCATTAACAACCCTAGTTCTAGTAAGAAACTAGTAAGAAACTAGATTTGCGATTTACTACGAAAAATTCCTCTTGACAATTTATAATCTTAATAACTTACGTTAGATTAAGATTTTTGCAAAGTATATAATCTAAAATTTTTTTATTGTTATATTTAATCTTTCTTTTTGGGTTTAAACTATAAACTAAAATTTTCAAAACTACTGTATATTTGATACTGGTAATATGTAATAATTTTTTTAACAAATTTATTATGTTTATATATATACATATAGCCAAATTTCTATTTTAATAAGGTAATATTGTCAAAATTTATTGATTTAAAAACAAATTTCTTAACTTTGTTTTGCTCGTTTTTTTTTGTAAACTTTTATAAAAAAAAAAACTTTTTCTCTTAGCTATATTTTTTAGTTTTATAATAAATTTTAAAAATTGTTAGCTGGTTTAAGGCGTTTCACGTTAAATAGAATTGTTAATGGAGTTCAAGAATAAAACATATAACCCACTCTGGAGCACTCCGGAAGCGGGTTATATGTTTTATTATAGTCTGGAGTACTCCACTAACAACCCTAACATTAAATATCTGAATTTTTATAGATTGCTAAATCATTCCGACTTAATTTGAAACATAGTTGTGAGGCTTTGAATTTTCAAGTTTTTTTTTCTTTTTTTTTTAGCGAATCAAATAACTATTAAAATAATTTTTTTTTGGCAGTTGATTATTAGTCTCTTATACAGTAAGCGCCAAGTCATATGGTTCGTTAGAATACACTTAGAGTGTAGGCAGATCATAAATCGTTTACTCGAGAACTTTTTGGGATCTACGTAAATTTTGCAACTTTTAAACAATATAATGGTTTATTGCAATTGTTCCATGAATGTAATAGTAAAATATATAGCCTGAATGAAAATCCGGTTTAACGTTACATCCCAAAATTAAACATACCGATACGTATAACCAATCAATACTATTGACGGAACTTTTCGGCAAGATATCATTTAACATTAAAAGTACGAGCAAATTGAGAATTAATAATAGTAATAATAATAATAATAATAATATTACTATTATTATTATGGATGATATCATTTGGCGATGTGAATACAGATCTGTATATTTTAAAAATACTGCAGTAAACGCTTAATTGTATTAATAACATTAATAACATTAATAACATTAGTAACATTAGTATATTTGTTAATCACATGGGCTGGAAAGGGATAATTTTTTCCAAAAAATTTTTTTGAGCTTAACTAATCCAAAATTAACCCAGGAACATTTTTATTTAAGGAACAAATACTTGTTATATTAATAAAATATTGCAATATAACTCTTTAAAGGTTGTATTTTTTTATAATTTATTATAGAATTTATAATATAAAAATCCAATTTCCGCAAAACTTTTTTTTTTTAGTCCCTTTTCTCAGCACCAAGCCCACATGTTCAGTGATATTATTATCTAATCTATTGATAAGATAGATAAGCATATGCCCATACGTAGGGAAAGTAGACAATTGTAGCCAATATCAGCTAGAATAAATGTTACCAGATCTTTTACCGATCAAAACATTGTTAAATGCCAAGCAATTGTTTACATGCTTACGATTACGTATAAAGCCATGTGTAGTGGCCACGTGAACATAGCATTAATTAATGAAATGAAGACAATGCAAATATATAAGTCTATGCATATACGTATTTCGATATGCATATACGTATTTCGATATGCATATATACGAATTAAATGCATAACGATAAATAATACGTACAGTACGAAAAGCCGGCTAAACCTTGACCCAATTCTGAAACAGTATTCAGAAATCGATCAGTGTTTGGTAATGACAAGGAATCGAAGCAATCTTATTTTGACAGTGCGTTCTTCGTTTAATTAGATTTCATCGAATACAAACTTTACATGTTAATTTGTTGCTACGGCATTGGATCATCGCGTGTTTTTATATAAACATTAGAGAATAAAATATATTTATTAATTTTTAACGCAGATCAATACTTTTGATATTACATAATAAGTTGATAAATCGAATCTTGGAAGAATCCCGAGTACACAATATATAAACAAAAATAATTATATTAATTGAATTTTTAATTCAAAATAATGAGAAACTGGATTGAATCCTGCTAAGGCTTTTAAATTTGATCCAATCAATCCATTAATGAAATATAACGGATTCAGAGAGGACCAATAAAAATTGAATAAAATTTCTATTGGTTCAAAAAAAAGTTTTTAAACGTTTACCCATTATTCCGATAGACCATTATTATTTTTATAGAGTATACGTAATATTTGGAGTATTTGGAGTATTTGGAGTATTTGGAATATTTGGAATATTTGGAATAAATAAATCTAAACAAAAAGGGGTTCAAAATTTTGGCGCCAAATATATTTATCAAGAAATGGAGGTTAGCGAAAACGCCAGAGAACAAAACAAAAGATTACTTTAAATGTACCTATTTAGAATCAGCCTTTTGTTACATTTTAAGCCATATTCACTCATTATAGAAATCAACGTTTTGCGCCTCGCGACATTCCAAAGTAATATGGGTTCATACGAACGTCCGTATGGATGGATGTACCGATGTATGTACCAGGAATAGTAGTGTCGAAATCAAATACATTCGGTCAGGATTGTATATAACTTAATTTTTGTGATCAAATTCTAGAGTCATCTAATATCGGAAAAAGGTAAAATCTGCATAAATATTTGTGCATGCACGCCTCACCTGCAGTGGAATTAAAGATTTTAATCGTTGGATCAACATTAGTATAGTATTAGTATAGTAGTAAATGGTTATTTCTGCAATTAATATTAATGGTTACATATAATTAAGGTTTGCGTCACCTGACATCTTAATAAATGCTATTAAAATACCAAAGATATCCTTTTTTATATAATACGTTTTTCCGAGCATTCCTTTTTTAGAACATAGATAATTCCGCTTGGGGCGAACAGGTTAAAAAAAAAGAAATTGATAGAAACATGCCTATCAACCTGAAAAACCTTTATTCTGTCATAAGTTATTGATTAAAGTTATTGATTTTTGATATATTCTCTATTCTGTCATAAATTATTGATTTTTATTATTGTTTGATTATTATTATTTTATTATTATATTTTATTTTATTTTATTTTATTATGATTATTATTATTTATTATTAAATAAAGAACGTCATAAGGCAGATTAATCCTGATAATATGTATATAGAATTGTTTATCAGCCAATATAAGAAATTTTTCCTCATGTCAGCGTGTTATTTTTTTTCAAATAAAGGAATTTGGATCAAAAAAAAATCCAGGCGCATACACAATATTCGATGAAAAAATACGATTGGTTTACATTATTCATAAATGCATATAAATCAAGAATAAGCAGATTCTTTCAGATTGTTGTGAATTAATCAATAAATTAATGTATATTGCACCGCCTAAGTACAAAACCAATAATAAAGATGTTGGTTGCGCCAATGCACAAACAAACAAGAATGTTCGGATGACACGGTCTAACCGGTATCTTATTTACTGCTGGCTTATCTGCTTTGCACGATAAACAAAATAAATTAATCGTGTCACATGGGAATTCCATTCAATCTTTCCCTGAATCCCATGGGCATCGGACGAAAAGATTTGCTTTGCATTAATACCCCATAGGCATTATCGAGTTTTGTTTTTTTTTTCATAACCTCCGAAACCAAGGTATCATAGTTAACATATAGCTTGAAAAATTATTTCTTTTTATTATTTAGGTAGGTCAAATAATATTCGTTGCATCATTGTTACACTTTCGTTTCCTCATGTTAATCTTGTTAATCTTACTTTCACCAATTGCATGCTATCCTTTTTTTTTTAAAAAAAAAACATATATATATATATATATTATTTAAAATTATTATTTGTTTGCTTAATTTTGTCATATACACAATGATTACATACGTGGATAAATTTCATCAAAGAAAGTGGGGTTAAATGAATGAATATGTTATGCATCACACAAATATACAATAATTGAACTTTTTTGCTTACAATTTTTTTTTTAATTCCTACTCTTGGTTAAAGTTTACAATTAGTCCGACCGAGGGCCGAATATTTCTCTGGAAAAATATTAACTTTATCAAGTTACACGAACCGCACGACCTAGCTATCTCAATTACGTGATACCAACTAATGGTTATTTATTTATTCTTAATGCTATTTGGTTCTGTACAACTCGTGGTCAACTCTAGAACCGTTTGGTTTAAGTAACGCAGTTTTTTTTCTGCAAAGTTCGGAAAATGGTTGGAATTATTACGAAAGATTTTAATCTTAATATTTACAAACAAGGGACTAAGTTTTGTGATACATAAATATATTTATCAAATTAGGAATGAGCTGGAAAACATGTTTGGTTCTTGATTTTGTTACACTACTTTGTATTCATTTCCCTAATGGATTCCCAGCCTCTTTTTTGACTACCACAAATCTTGATTTTTTGCACTCCTAAAAACCAATTTCATTTCCTTTTTTCGCCTACTGGTATTCATTCTCTATTTTCACCAGTTTTAGTAGTGTTGTATTAAATCTAATATTTACTTTTAAGCATCGGCAAAACCCCTCAAAGGTGTTTTTCTGGTCACAACGCACACTCCACTGTTTTCATGTCACGCTCTATTTTCCATAAGCAATAAAATATAAGATACCTTAAAAAATCTCATTTGTTAGGACGTTCGTTTTTCTTTTAGAATTATTTTTATTATTTTATTATTATTTTATTATTATTATTTTTTATTTTATTGATGAACCGAGATGAATCGAACCAAAGTCACCGTGGCGTGCCAGGCTTGTCAAAAAAAAAAGGTTAAATGCACTGGTGTCGCTCCATGTACTAACTGTAATAGAACTGGTCATCAATGCGAATTTACTGGCACTGCTAAAAAACGTGGTCCTAGAAATGGTACCGTCGAGGTGATCAAAAGTTCGGCTAGTAGAATTGAGAATGTTTTGGAAAAAAATCCAAGTTTACGACCTCAAATCGAACAAATGATGAAACGTAGCTCCTCGGTCCGTTCGTCGAGATCCCCTTATGATGTATCCCTTAACTCCATAATGATGGATGCTTCTCGATCTCATGCTATTCATAATACCTCTAGAACTTTTCCGTATCCTACGCCAAGAGGTCATTATTCACAACGAAAACATGGTAAAAAAAAATAAAATTTTTGCTCCATTTTTTTTTAATATACAATATTTTCTCTTTTATTAACCAAATTTTTATTCAATTTTTTTTTTAAAAATAAATTTTTTAGATCGAATGAATTTATATGCATATTCTCGAGACGATAATTTTATTGAATTACAGTCCCCTCATGAGATCAGACAGGAAGTCGTGCGACCTGTGCCAAAGTATCCCTTAAACATGAGAAATCATGTGACTAACGGAATTTCAGATCAATTCTCCGCAAATACAAATTCATCGCATAATATCAATACCGTTGCCATTCCACAATCATTACCACCGATCACCACGTTAGAAACTTCCCCGCTTGTGGAGTGCTCTTCTGCACAATTAAATGCTCCACTTAAACCCAGATTGCTGTTAACCGGCACACTATCCGACGTGCCACGACCTCGACAAACAAATACAAGTCCATTGCCACCTTTGTTGCAATCATTGGGCGAAGATTCTATGAAATTACCAATTCCTTGGATGGCACAACAGCCGAAAAAATCAATGTCAATGCCGATTCTTGGAAATTCTGCTGGTATCCATTTATTACTTTCTCCTGCGCCAGATTTGGGGAATCCTCTCGATAATAATCGTCATTTGGTTCAAATGAACCCTCAATTTTCTACTGACTGTTCATCTGCCACTTATGATGCTTCAAAATCTGAAAAAACTTCATCACCGCCAATGAATTTACCCTCGCCGCCGACTTCTTCACCTGAATCCACGTCTCCAAAATATCACGTTAAACCTATCGCTAATAATCCGTTAACACCAACTTCTTCACCACCCTCATCTCCGTTTCCACCATACGTTGCTTCAAATTCATCGTGTCAATCAACGCATCTTTTATATCAACCAGTACGATGGAACAATACCGATCTCGACGCGTATCAACATAATGAACGTGTAAACATTGAACGAAGTGGTAACACGGACGTGGACCAATTTTATTCTAGGCATCACCTTATTTTACGATCATAATCGATGACGGCTATTTACGATGAAATCACTAAGTAATTATTTAAGATCAAATTAATATTTCGAGAAAATGACATGAACAAAAAAAAAAAACACTAAAATCTTAAAATTCAAAGAATTCATAAACATAAATAGATTATGATATGTTTTATTATAGAAATGATATATAACTCTCTTTTATTAAGCTTTAATTTTTAATATTAAGTCAAAAAATTATTTATAGATTTTTTTTTTCTTTTTTTGAGTTCTAATTTAACAAACTATGGGACAAAATATATATGATATACAAAAAAAAAAAAAAAAACACAAAAAAAAAAAAAGGATTAATTTTCTCGATCTTTCACTAAACTCTTTTTTTTCCCTTTTTTTTTTTGCATTTCTGAATTAAATTGGCAAGAATTGGTTTAATCGTCGTCGTGTAAAAGAAAAGTGATAAAATGAAAAAAAAAAAACATATATTAGTTATACGTATTTTATGAGAAGTTAACTAAATAAAATCACTTTTACTTTATTAGCACTCTAACTCGTAAATTGATAATATTACATGAGTCTCAAAAAAAAAAATAATTTTGCACGTACATAAATGATGCCAAAAACTCTTGGATCGAATTTATCATCTCATCAGATTTGGCCACTAATTGCTAAAGAATCTTTATAAACCAAATTCATTAAAATGAATATCGTAAAATCCAGTGACACTAAAAAGATTATAATGCATTTATAATATGTATTATCTATCGGTTAGGAAAAAAAAGATCATACAGTATCATGATTCATTATTATCTAAACAATCATTATTATCGTTATGCGTCAAAGTCATAACGATAAATCAATCGACGCATAATTTGATTTAAAAAATCTCATATACATCGTATTTATCATAATATATTTCTTGATGAGTTAAAAAAAAAGATACCATATATATATTTTTTTCAAAAGAGAATTAGTTAACAAAACTTATAAAAGCTCATAAAAATAATAAAATCAACAACCAAAATATCTCACATCTTTCTAATAACAAATGTCTCGCTTTATAATAACATTCATTTTACTGTTATTATTAGCTTCTAATAGTAGCTCTCACTTTTTATCTTATTATAAAAGTCAAATAGCAGCACCGAATATAGACAGTTATAAATGCTGTGATGAAAATGAACATCAAACCAGTGGTAGTGCAGAAAAGTCTTCTGAATGTCTTTCTTCTACGCAAAATGAACAATGTGTTGATGGTAATAGAGATGGCCACTTAAATATAATTACACGAAATTATCCTTATACCTTCAATTCTAATCTTCATATAAAAAGTCGCAACTTATTTCGGAGAAAAGCATGCCCTTATCCCTTCTTTATGAATATGCCATATGCAACAAAAACTCAATCTGGAGGTTGTAATAATCGGTATGGTGGTTGGCAAGGTTGTAGCTCTGAAATATATAAAGGAAATTGTAATGATTGTAAAGATTTTGGTGTTGAAGTGGTTTCTCCGTAAAGTGTTATAGATATTCCTGTATGTAGTCCTATATGTAATCCTATTGTTTCTGTACCTGCTACTATAGAAGCAGCTCCAGCTGAAATGAATCTAATTGAATTGGACTCGATTGATTCGGAACCAATCGAAATAGAGCCAATCGAAGTGGAACCAATAGAAATTGATATGGAAGAATTTTAGAAATCGATAATTAAAAGACTTTTTTTCTTTTTTTTACAAAAAACAAAAAAAAATGATGTCATCCTAATTTTTAATTAAATGTGTTTAGCCGGAAAAAAATTTTTATTTGTATGCACTATATATTATGTAATTAGAAATAATTTTATAGTTCAACAATGTATTACACTAAATAAAAACATCCTAGATCTATTACGTACTTATGTGTTATTGTGATTAAATATATTTTGCACAAGTACACAATATAGTTTAACTAATTTTGGATTTTTGTGTGTGCTATTAAATATTATAGAGAACACAACTATCATTGTAAACTAGACACTGTAACATCACTTATCAAACATTTTAATCGACGCGATTACCATGAGGTCACCCGATGTTATACAATTTAAAAAATTTTTTTTTTTAAATCATAACTCTGAAATGAATTAAATTTATCCCCTTAAAACGATAAACTTTTGCAGGTAAGTTTATTGCAAAAATTACCCAATAATCGCATATTTTAACCCGCTAAATCTCACAAATTATCTAATAGTGCCGGTTTGGAATTGTCAGACATTGGAATTCAATAAACACAATGGGCAATTAGTATAAATGGCACATCTGGTAACAACTCGTGACTAAATTAGGTGACGTAAGTGCATGACTTTTACAGAATTCTTTTACAGTTATTTAGGTGTGTTATTTCGCTAAAGACAGGATACCGTTAAAAGTAGGTCCTTTTTTTTTTTTTTTATTGTATAATTTTATTGATAATTTGAATAATTTGTACAATTTATACTAATAACATATTACAATCAAGTTAGGACTACTTTATTCTCGATGTTCACATATCCCGGGCTAGGATTTTATGTTATAAACCATTCTTATACTAATTTTTAACAATAATTTCTGTATTTTTAATACATACTAGTGTATAACCCGTCGCTTCGCTTCCGATTTTAAAAAATCAGACATTATATAAGAGATGGTCTAGGAAAATGGTGTATAGTACGGGTGAGCAGATCAGTATAGTACAGGCCAAATTAAAACCACACCATAATGATCTGCAAAACACCTAGAGCTCTTATCCGGTCAAACTCAAGTTAAATTTTTTCGACACCTCAACTATTAAACTTTAAGTCGTGGTATATTGAGAAATATGGTTCAGAATATTGTAAAGGTAGAACATTTCAAGCTTTGCATCAAAAAGGTTTTTAACCTTTTCTCGTAATTTGAGTTCGTTCATTTTTACATTGGAAAACATAATTTATCCCTAATGTAAAATATTCATTTTTGATGCTTCTGTAACTACTTTGCTAAAATCTCACATTTTTGCGAAAGGGACAAAATATCCTATATTTAGTGTAAATTATTAATAATATAGGTCTCTAAGAGGAAATTTTCATAGCAAAGCGCTAATTTAGGCAAATTTAGTTTCTTACTAGCACTATTAACGAGCTTTC